GAGTAGCTCTGGAGACAGATAGCCCTCACAGGGAATGACAGGCAACGGTCAGAAAGACCCACAGCAGCCACTCTTCCAGCCACCAAAAGGCAGGGAAGTTCTTTGGCTTGCTGGTCAGAGGCACCATGGTTTGTGGTGGCTCAGGAAAGCAATTGCAGAACATACTGAAAACAGGCAGACATGAATCCTGCCTGCAGCTGCTTTCTCCTGGTGCTGATGTAATGTGCCACCTTTTGAATACACAGTCCCTTAAGAGATCCAGCTCATTCCTTTAAAGCAATAGCACAAACATCTTCCTAGATCCTGCAACACAAATGGGAATCTTCAAAACCTTGCTTTAAGCCAGACCTGTACCACCGATTACCAATTTCTCTAGGGAAAAACAGCATGCATAAAACAAGACCTCTCTCTTCTCCCAGCACAATAACCATGTGGGCAGAAGCCGCTGGCATGGACAATTAGTCCAAAGCACACGAAGTACAGCAGACCTTGCTCAAAAGATACAGTAGGCTATGCTAGCAGGATCCCCATCTTGTCCAGAGAAGCTGTGTAGCCACTATAAAAGCTTGGCCTAAGGAGAGCACAGCGATACCAGGAAAGCATTGCCACTCCCCCCACTTTTACAGGGATGGGGAGGAAGGGACTTGAAAGCACGTGAGGGGGAATGACAGGCAGGCAATACCAACATGCAAGAGCCATGGGGAGAACAAAAGTATTTCCAGCTCTGCTTAGCAATCATGTGCAGGGAAAGCATAACGAGTGTGCAAAGATAACCCTGCAAAGGGCAGGAAGTGCTGCACAGAGAATCATGGAGGAAAACCTTCTGCAACTCACACTTAGCAAGAGAATCTTGGGCTTTCTGCAGCTAATCCGTATTTGGAGCAGAGGGCAGACACCCAGCTCCACGCTGGAAGGACATGAAGCGAGAAGGCAGTGCCAACCGCAGGCCTGCAGGCTCAGAGAAAAGCCATTTCATACTGCAAGCCTTCGCTTTACAAGTTTGGCACCGGCTTCACGAATCTCAGCCTCTCTCTGTTACAGAATGCATACACACATGGACGTTTCTTTTTCATTCCTTGATTTTTGTTTTTGTCCTTTTAACCAACTTTCTAGCCAATGCATCAGCCCGGCCCCACCAACTCACTCCCCTGAACAAACCAGAGAGCTGCCGACAGGATGAGGGCTGCAGGCAGAGAGGTGCCTCCTGAGAAGGCCATGTTCAAGTCAATTCCTGCACACACCAACTCCCCATATGGCTGGCGAGACTTCCCAGCGAGAGCCTGAGCTGCACAGGGCATGGGGAAGAGGCTGAGAGCTGCAGTCCCAGGCAGCAGGCGCTCCCACGACAAAGGCAGAGTTACCCTCAGAGCAGTCAGCTGCCCCACACCACAGTACTTTAAAGCTAGAGCATCAGGACCAACAATACACTTGTGAAGATCAGAGTGGCAGAGGGACACAGCGATCCCTCCCCTCTCTCCCTGACTGGAAACCTGCATTTCCGTTTCCAGCTCAGCCTGCAAGCAAGGTCCAAGCTCCCCAAGCTCGTTTCCAACAGGCACGGTTGCAGTCAGACCCTAAGCAGGAGACCTGGGGTTGAAGGAGCAGAGATGGCTGCAGGACAGGGGTGAGAGCACCATTACAAGCATGGTTCCTCACCCTGCGCTCATGCCAGCACTGTCCTGCTCGGTGGCTGGGATGTCTGGGCAGTGCTGGAATCACTGGTGGTCCCAAGGAGGTCCAGGCTATACTTCTGGACTTACACTCTAGCTGCCAGCATGAGGTGGGTGACAGCAGCAGGGTCCCTTTGCACAGCCCAAAGTACAGAGCCAAAGCTCTCTCCTCATGGGTCAGCTCAGGAAAATCCTGCCAAAAGTTGAGTGGTCAAAGGGAAGGGAAAAAAAAAAAAAAAAAAAAAAAAAGGAGAGGACTACTCTGCAGTGCTTGTAGCTGTCATGGGTGAAATCAGGCAGGCCTATGGAAAGGCACTTCCCACCTGCTCAGCCCAGATAGAGGCCCTGGGGAGCAGGAGACAGCTCTGTTGAAACCAGACACAGGCCAACCTTCCTCTGAATCACACAGCATCCCAGAGGCCATGACCCATTGGAGGCTCCGCTGCTCGCCCCCGCAACGCTTCCCGAGCCATCAGGCAGGACCTGGGACCCTGCAGAGCCAGTTCAGGCGGTACCAAACCTGTCCCTTTGCTTCAGGCTCCAAGTGGGGCCTCCGCCTCCTTGTGCGAGAGGCAGCACGGAGAACAAGCAGTGGGGCTGGCACACTGGCACTCGCCACAGGAGCTGCTGGTCAGGGGGCTACAGCTGCCAGCCAAGCTCTCACTGGCAGGAAAAAGATAGGGCAGGAGCAGCTCAAGGGACTGCCACCAAGGATTACTCCCCTTCTCCTTGGTTCCCACCCCTTGGATAGCAGCTGCTAGATTAAAAAAGCCTTAACGGCGCTGTCATTCAAGGACATGGAGACAATCTCCATTTTCCAAGCACTCCCATCATCTTGTCTCATTCTCTGCACCACAAAAACCCAGGGGAAAATCCGGCCCCAGCCTCCAGCAAGCCCTATCATCCTTGCCTCCGTTACCCACTGCGGAGCTCTCAGATGCTTTGATATGCAAATCAGCCCCAGGATCCATAACCAGCACTGTCTGCTATTAACAGCCGTGCAGAGTATCCTACGCCCAGGGCCTCCTCCAGCACAAAGCAGGCACCCCACAGCTGCGCAGGCTTCACGTCAGACGGCGCAGGTCCCGGCTGCCTTTCCTGGGAGCGGGAGGTGCCGCCTGCAGAGCCCTCCGGTCCCCTGCACACAACGTCACCCTGGCCACAAGGATGGAGACGGGGCGCTTAGAGACAGGATGATGCTGGGGTTGCACCTCGGTAGGGATGGGGAGGGTGGCGGAGGAGCTGCCTGCAGGATGCTGCGGCGCTCCCCATAACCCCAGGCACTCCAGTTACCCCTCAAGGAAAGCATAATTAGGAATGGACAAAAAGCAGGTGCTCAGCACTGACAGCTCTTGGGCTTTTATCGCACATCTCACACTACCTGGGATTTTCCTAAAACTCCTAGTTCCCAGAATGAAGCAGTTTCATGAGGTTACTTTATTTTTTTTAAATGTAAAAATTTGCTACACTCCTCTCCCACCCCCAGCAAGATCCTAGCCCATTTTATTGAAGAAAGCTAAAAAATATGACCCAGGATATTTTAAAAGCCCAGAAAAAAACCAAACAAAACAATAAACAAACAAGAAGCAAAGCACTCAGCATTTTTCTTTTTTTGGCCCAATTCATTACTTCAGGACATTTCAGAACAGTTGCACCATGCTCCGGTCAAAGGGGGAAAAAATGGAGCATTGAAAAGCCTCACGGCATTGCCTTCTTGACAAGAAAACTGACACCATCAGAAAATACAGTAGCTTCAGTTCCTTCCAAGGTTACCGAAGACAGGAACAGACAAAAATAGAGCAAACTTAGTGCAACAAAACACATTCATGAGCCAAACCAGAGTCTCTTCCCAACCCCCTCAAAGGCATCTTCTTTCATGTTTATCTTGCAGCTATGCTATCCAGGTGAGGACTGCAGAAAGGACTTTTCTCCCAGTAAAGCCAGCGTATTCCTATTGCTAAAAGGCTTGAGATGATAAAGGCTTTTCCTAGGTAGATTCCAGCTAATTGCAGTCATTAGAAGCAACGTCCTTAATGCTCTGCTATTTCTGGTTTGAACTGAGTCCTCCTGCAGCCGGTTACAAGCTGAGTGGTTGGCTTTCCGCTCTCTCAGAAGCATTATGAGAATAAAAGGCTGTTAGGGACTGCACAGGATGGGTGTTTGGAGGAGAAGAGCACAGATTCCCAGAGCACACTTGCGAAGTCTTTGTCCCACGCACGGGTGGGGCATCTGCAGGACCATCCAAGAGGCACCTGTGTCCTCCAATCCTTCTGTGGCTTTGGGACCACTGCTAATGGGATGCTCCCACCATGCAGCCCATGGCTTTCCATGTGTGCTTACTCCAGAAGATGACAGGATGGAGCAGGACGCTCCCACAATAACAGAAATATGGGAGGTGGGTCCTCGTGGACTATGCACAACTAAATTAGCACCAATCAGCCTTTTGCCCCCAGCACCTGCTACTGAGGGAAGGGCAAGGGAGGGAGGTGTCCAGAATCCCAAATTCCCAAACACCTGGTCTCCATCCAGCTGAGAGCTATTAAACCTGCTACGGGCACCAGGCTGACTGCAACCACGTCACAGATTTTTGGCACGATGCCTCCAGCAGGTAGCTACGTACAGACATCCAGGGCGCACTCCAGGACAGGAGGAAAAAAACCACGGTTCACCAATTTGGAGGGGCTGGCCATCAAGACAAGAGGAGAAAGGGACTGCTTGGCTGCACAACCATGGGAAAAAAAGCCCATCTTTGCTAAGTTCTCCAGGGTAGAAGAGGGAGAGGAGCCGCAGAAATTTCCCTGCCGTTCCCACCCTTGAAACATCCCTCCTGCCTCCCTGCCGGCGGTGCCTGGAGCAGAGCGGCAGGGAGGAGGGCGGGCGGCTCGCCCACCACCCACAAAAGCGGTCTCAGCCCCTCCGATGGCGCCGGCAGGTGAGATGGCAGAGCCGGTCCCACCCACTAGAACCGGCTCCGGCGACCCCCGGGGGGTGCCGAAACCACCTCACCCAGCCAGCGGCCGAGCCCAGGGTCGTCGCACCGGGGAGGCAGGCGAGAAGCCTCAGAGCCCCGAGCCGCCCCGCTTCCACACCGCCCCGCGGGGCCTCGGGCACCGGGGCGCGTCCCCCGCCCCAAGATGGCAGGCGGCGCCCCCCGCCCCAGGCCGCCCCCTCTGTGATGCTCCGCGCAACGCCCGGCCCGGCCCGCTCCGCCCTCAGCAGGGCCCGAGGCGCGGCCGTTGCCCCCCCACCACCTTCAGCAAGCACCGAGGCTACGGCCCCGGGCCCGCCCGGCCTGGAAGGAGCCGCTGACGCCCCTCCGGGTCTGCTTACCCCGAGTCAGGCGCGGACTGGCTCCCCCTCTTCCCCGGGGCTGCCGCTCCGCCGGGCCGGGCCGGGCCGGGCCGGGGGCTGCGGTACCGGGCAGCGGCAAGGGAGAGACAGCGGCGACCGCCCAGCTGGTCTCGGCTCGCTTCGGCTGGGCTCGGCTGGGCTCGGCGAGGGGCGGGGCCTGTGCGGTGGTGGGCGGGGCTGCGCGGGCGGCGGGGCTGCGCATGCGCGGGGGCTTGCGGGCGGAGGGGCCGCGTTCCCCTCGGAGGTGCGGGGCCGGGGCGGGGAGCGGGACCGGGGATTGTGCGGGCGGTGGGCGCAAAAGCGGCCCCGGGAGCGGTGGCGGGCTGGGGTGATGGGTAGCGGAGTGGGGACAGCCGAGCCGCGGCGCCTGGGCCGTGGCGGGGCCTTAGGCCTCCAGGGCGGGGCTGGCCGCGGCCTGTGGGCCCCGCCGCCTGCGGGCGGCCTTGCCCGAGCCGCTCCCGTGGTGCTGGCTTCCGTCGGGGCTGGGGCGGGTTGGGAGCGGGCCGTAGTGCCGGTGCGAGCAGCGTTTGGGCCTTCTGCGGCCTCTGGGCTGTCCGGGTCCTCCCTTCCCCGGGTACCGGCCCTGCTGCCCGTCTCTTGCAGGGAGCCGTTGGCAGGCGTGGCTGATGCTCCGGGTGCAGGGCCCGAAACGCCAAAACCCTGAGCATGGGTTGCTGCTTGACAAAGGCTGAGAACTGCTGGCCCCGAAAGACGGCCTAGTTTGGCACACAGCAGGGTGGATAGTAGTGACATCGTGCAGAAGCAGCTGGCAGACAGAGCCTGGGCTGTGGGGAGCTGGAGCCTTTGTGTCACCTGCACGCAGGGCACTGGCTGCACATGGGGTGACTGGCAGCATCTTGCCTCTCTGACAGGCAGCACCCCCTGCTCCCGCTGTGCTTCAGCCCGTGCCCTCTTACTCTCGCCTGAGGGAGGAGGAAAACAGAGTCTAGTCTGAGAGTCGTGCACGTGTTGTGTCCTTCAGAGTGTTTCTTTGCTTCAGAATTCTTGTGGGCCTGTACTGCCCCGATTAGGCTTGTGTGGGTATGGGTAGTCATGCAGCAAAGTTAGACCAAGATTCCTGTGTCCTGACAAGCATGGCATTTACTCGTGTGTGTCACTGGGACTCAGGAAGTGTGGGCATTAGTCTGTGTTTCGCTGGTTATTCTCCAAAAAACTCCTTTGGAGGTCTGGTGAGTAAGGGGAGGCAATTTGGGGAAGAACACTGTGTGACAAGTTTCTTATAAGCATGAAAGACTTAGTTCTAGTAAAAGCAGACAGGCAGCCGGCCCTTGTAAAACCGGGACACAAGCTGCATTCACTTTGCTTGCTTCAAAAGTTCCCCAAGCTTACATGGGAAGGTCTTGTTTGGAAGGACAGAAACTGAGTTAAGGGAAGGTTTTGAGTAAGAAGTGAGACTTATTCCAGCAGAGCTACAGGTAGCTCTGTGCTGCTTTGCAGCATGAGCGTGCCTTTGTCTTCAGGTTAGGTTTCTCAAGCCTAAATTCTGTCTGTGTTAGGCATCCTTTCCTGGTGTAGCTTTATCAGGAAGACCTGGAGCTGCTATTGTTCTTTGTTCTGTAAACAACTAGCCTAGGTCATTGGTTCCTACCTTTTCTTTAATGCTTGAGCCACAGCTCCTCACCTTCTCTTCCTTCTTGTTTGTGTCTTCCCTGCCACACACACCACCCAGTACGGTCACTGCTATCTGTTTTGTGATTGCACCTTGCTGGTTGGGACCAGGCCAGGGTGGGAACAGAATCTGGTATTGTGGCTTGCCACCTATTGTGCAGTTCCTGAGACCTCAATACTTTCAGAAATAGTAAAGATACGTTTGAAAGGTGATAGCATCATTAATTTATGGGAATGTGGGCAGTTCTCTGAATTCGCATATAATTCCAGAAGGCAGAGGCAAGGAGCTGGCTCACTGGGCTTCATCTCCAGCCCCACAGACCGCACCAGAGTGGAGCTTTTGGGGTTAGGTACCTGCTTTACTGCTCCTTTCCTTTGACCTCACACAGGAAGTTGTCCTCTCTGTAGCTTGATTTCCTGCTGGTGTACTTGGAATAATCGCTTCCTATTTTAGTACAGTGCTGTGAATATGAATAGCAGAAGGTTTAAGGTGCTCAGATACTGGAACATTAAGAGCCATAAGCACCTTAGAGTTGGGGCTTCTGGATACTTAAAATGTCAAATGTAGGTTTTCCATTAAAGGTATTAACTCTTTTTTCATCTCCCTTTCCTGATTGTGATCTGAAAAATGAGGTTAGTGTGTTTTGCTACAAAATTGTTAACAGATGTACCTGTAATGCGTTTCTGTTGGTAACTTGGATCAATAAATATCCTGTTTAATAGCTAATCCTATTCATAAAAGGAATTGGAAATACTTAATTCCTCTTTGTGAATCCTGGCCTTTCTGGCTGTCATTAATGTAAAAACAATTATGTCTTGGTAATGAATATCTTGTGTTTTTCTAACACACACACGCCCTTAATCACATCGTTTCCTTTATGAGGAGAGCTGTGAATGGATTGAGTCCCGTAGTTCACAGTTGGCTCTTGTAGCTCACCCTGGTAGACAGTCTATAAATAAACGTGCAGTGGTAGAGTAGGGGCTTAGGTATTTGCATCGCGCATATTGTCTTGGATTTATTTCCTGTGTTTTAATGATGGATGACAGATGCAGTTCAAATCTTTGTGGTGCCTGGAGCATGTCTATTTTGGTCTCTTGGAAGAATAAAAGGGATGTTGGCCCCTACTGTTTGACTGTGCACATCAGGTTACTACTACTAAAGTGAAGAATGTATTTCCCCGTTATATTTTGTGTGTTTGACAGCAGGCCTCAGTATTTGTTTCGCAACATCCTTTGGTTTTCCTTGGGGCCTGTTTGTGTGGATGAGTTACTAGCAGAAAGAAGGAAAAGAAATAGCTGCATCGTTGTGGAACTACAAATCTTGGGAATATAGGGAGCAGGTGTCATTTCCAAGAGTTGTGATTAAGAAGGAAAGTAGTACTGGATTGCTAGGTAACGGCATTATTTAAAAGTACATTTACTGGTTTTTAGGGTGTACACCACTGATAAAAGCTTGGTCACTGACCTCTTGAGCGTTCAGGCACAGATCTTTTTAGTGCTGCCGTGGCTGTGTTAATAGTGCAGATTGATACAGACCATTCTTGTGAAGCACATCAGTATTTTAGCTGAAATGGAAGAGATCCTTTTCTTGTCCATATCTCCTGATGTTTCTCCAGGGATACTGTCATGATGTCGGTCTGGGTTGGCAGTGAAAGGAGAAGTCCCTGTCTTGGGTTTTGCCACATTCCCTCGCACCAGCATTCATGTGGCCGTGGGATGAGTTGGATCAGGGAACTTATCTAGCTGAAAACTATGACTGATTTATATGAACACTAGTGCCAGCGTAAGGGAGGTGGTGGAAATGTGTGTTGAGGGGACACAGGGCTCTCTTTTGCGGTACTGTGTCCCCTAATGTTGGCTCAAAATGAGTATGTAAATCTGCCCTCCTTATCTGGAAGTTGTCCTTGCTTTGTATCAGCTCCTTGAGGTGATCTACTCATGTATTTGCATGCATTTGATGAAAATACTGTATGTGGCCTGCTTCTGTTAGCTGGGATGAATTTTTCCAAAATTCCTCTATTCAAAAACCACTCAAAATTGCAGTAAATATGTTAGTTCTTTAATCTCAAGGGAAAACAGTGAAGGTGGTAGCTTTAGTATGGCACTTGAAAATGGTGCAGTGGGTAAATATCGTCCAGAGGTCTATAACTGGTGAAGAGTTCCTTTGTTGTGTGGTATTGGAATTTGATGTCGGTCTGTCGCATTGAGTGGGGTATGGCTGAAGGGCCCTCAAGAAGGGAGTGTTTGCTGCAGCAGGTTATTGCGTGCTCAGACTTATGCAGTGAAGTAGAAATTGGGTCACTTTAGTGAATATTTGATCAACAGACTCCTTCACCCTTTCGGAATCTTGCTGTGAAGTTAGTCTAAGGTCTGGGCTAACTTTTAGCTGCTATGTGGAGCAGAGAGAAGTGTCTCTGATTCTGGTTTTAAGAAATCAGTCTCTCTAATTGTCTTCTAGAGCCACTGCTAGAATTTAGGGGCAGCAGGGTCTGACCTGGTTGCTCTCCATGGTTCTTCATCACTGTGTTGGTGCAACTATCTGTGGCCTGTGCTGTATCAGTAGTTGCCTTTGTGTTGGGCCTCTCATTTTAGGATAGTGTCTGTTTAAATACGGCTCTTGGCTAGCATGAACAACTTGGAAGTTAATCCTACTTGATCGGGAGATTGTGCTAGATGACCTCCAAAAGACCCTTCCAAGGTAATTCCTTGGTCAGGAGTGTATTAGTGACTAAGTACTAAGCAGTGGGGATGTTTTCCTTGTCACCAGGGTGTTGTGGGGTGTGCTCCTGCATCAGTTAGGCAATACCCACAGCAGACTTCTGGGAATTCCGTGAAATTTTCTTGTGCTTGAGGCTTATGGGAATATTTTTCCAATAAACCTCCAAGCGCTGAAACCTGATCAGAGACTACCCTGGGGGAGCCACTGTTCAGGAGCAAAGTCATGTCATGTGTGCTCCCCGTGCCTGTGCTGGGTGCAGCCTCCTCTGGGCCGCGTTAAGGCCAGCGTGAGGCACCGCGGGCGCTGGGAAGGGGAGAGGTGCCGGCTGCGCTGGGCTGGGGGCTGTCAGTGCTCTATAGAGGCTCTGCAGCATGGGCACTGACTCGGAGCATTCGTGTGACAGCACCCAGCGTGACAGATCGAGAGGCTTCTGTGCCCTTCGGACCTTAGGTTAGTCATTAGCTACTCCACGGCTGGGAACACTGAGGGTGGAGGAGATCAAATGCCTCGTTCACAGCAGTGGAGGGAGCAAGTCAGGACTGGGTCTGGTTGAGTAGTGCCTGGAGACAGACCCAAAACTATCGACTGTTTGTTTCTAGAAGGGAAGGTGACATGTTACAATACTGGAAAGGTGATTCACTCTTCATGAACCCACTCGCACCCTTGCATGCTGTACTCTGTGCCACAGATGCATTCTTCTCTTTTCTCCACCCTGAGCCTTCCTGGTAATTGGAAGTATCCCCCCTGTTTACTCAGTTTCTAACAGGATGCTTCATACCAAATAATCAATCATACGAAGTTTCTTAGCTCATGACACATTTCAATGTGCCGAGGATTAATTCTTAGCAAGGAGGAGGTACTGAGTCATCTGGAAAAATAAACAGTCCTTGGACACTTCATGCTGTTGATGCTTCTGCTGGTAGTTTTGTAACTTCAAACCTTCACTGTTGCCACAGGGTGGAAACAAACGGTGACTCCTCCCAGGAGCGGGGAGTGACTTCAGAGTTTAGGTAGTGCTTCAGGACTTCGACAAGCGGCCTTGAGCAGATGTAGCTATGCTGGTCCTGATGTTGCTGTCCCTCTGGCAGCAGGCAGCGTCTGCGCCCTTGCATTCCTGCTGCAAGCCAGCAGACTTCTCCTGTCTGTCTTATGTAGTGGTGAGGATGAGCTGGCCCATCCTCTCCGGCCACTGAGGCCACCACAGCTGCTAGAGGAAGAGAGATGGACTCCTCAGGAAGCATCCAGCAAAGACAACAGAGAGGCTGACTTGCTGCTGCTTGTTTTAGTTTTCTAGAGGAATCCAAAGCCTCGGTGTGATTCTGGAGAAAGTAGGAGCAATATTACCTGCCGGGTTTGAGTTTCACACGGGGAAACGCTACACCGAAGCGCAGAACGGGACGCAGGCTGTCCTCCTGCCAACACAGAGTGTGGGCTTACAGCAAGGCAAGGTAGCTCAACATGCTTAGAAATCCTAGCAGCAGCAAGGCCCAGGTAATTGTACCTTGATTGCCAGCAGTACTGTAAATACAGCAGGGCCGTGTTTTTGTTAGGATCATACAGGCAGGTAAGGAGCTGTGGCAAAAACAGCCCTCTTGGAATCTCATTTCAGAGAGCGGACAGTGCAGGCGAGCTCTGAAGAGAAGCTCTGAACTCGTTTGGAGACCTTTAACACCACTGAAAAGTAGCTTTGCTGAGCAAATAAGTGTAAGCTTTGGCTGTTGCTGATCTCTTCCAAACCTGCCTATATGACAGGCAAGACAGTTTGCGTCGTATTGTGTGCTTTGCTCAGGGAGTGCTGCTGCAAAATTGCTGTGGTGCACATCTCCAGTGCTTCTCATCTTGCTGTCAGGTAATGCTTGCTCTGTAGGACAACTGCAAACCCTAAAATTACGTACATCCGCAAGTAAGCAAACATACTGGGGAAAAATAAAAACAAAGAGACAGTGAAGATTTAGCCTGGACTTTACTTGATTGTAATAAGAACAGCAGTGGCATTGTCTGTCAGAAGGCTCTGTGAATATGTTCTTTCTCCCTACAGAAGTTAGGTCACCTTTGTTTTTAAAATGAAAGTTAAGAAAATGGCTTTGCAATGCACTGCTACAGTTTGACCCTAAGCTCCTCAGAGCTGGCAAAGGGAGATGAGAGGTCAATGTATTTTTAAAGTTTACTTTAGATAGGAGAGGAGCGGAGCATGGGTTGGTTCCACTGCCAAGGTCTAAGCCACACAGCAGTAGTTGCAGTCGGATGGGAAGTCTTAGCTCTACTGAAGCTGGCCTGAAAGAAGACAGGCTCTCGGTCCATGTTGTTTCCTCCCTTCACTTGGATCTGCCAGCATAGCTGCCTGGGTCATTGCTCCCCAACTGGCATCTGGCAAAATGATCTGGGTTCAGATAGGCCTCTGCGATTGCGCCTGCAAGCTGGTCCCCATCAGTCTGACAGAATAAGGTTAGGGAACCGCCATAGATGTAGTCAGGGAAGAGAGTGTGGTGAACCTCAGAGGTTAACCTTGTAACCCAGCTCTGCTGCAGTGGTTTGGTTTGGGTCAGGTCGAGTGACCACCATAAAGTTACAGGAAATTGTTTTCTCTGGGTAGCCTCATCAGTGCAAGATTGAGAGAGGTGTGATTCTGGTCTCTAAACACAGGCTGCTGAACACCTTGTGTATGCCGAGAGGGAGTGTGCCCTCACCAGCGGTGTTTTGGTTTGCCCCTTGTCTGGCAAATTGTTTCTTGAAGCAGTGATGCCAGAGTATCTCTGGCTTTTTGCTTGGTTTTGTAGGTAACATTGGGAGCTTTAACAAGTAACTATGGTAGCTTTTACTGGTCACTACGGCCTCTAAATTGGTTCACATCCAAAATTCTCAAACCCGCTTTTGACATGGTTCACAGTGCATGCAGAAGGGCCTTTACCTCTGTGTGCAGGAAACTGCAGTGCAGTGATTTCAGCTTTGTAGTGTATGTATCTGAATTATATTGTCTGCTGAATCCAGGCAGGGGTTGTTGATCTGCGTTACAGTGTGCTGTGGATTGCAGCTTCTGAAGAGGTGCTGAGGCTCTAATGTGTGATTCACGTAAGGGAAAGGAAGCAAAACAAATTTGGTCCATTTTCCAGAGTTCATAATTCTCTTGTTTCTTATGCAGGGCCGGTTACCAGAATCCAAATGGCTCTCTTGAATACGCGATTGGGTTTATCCTTAACCCATCTAAGCAGCACAGTGATTCAGCGACACTTCAGGTAATTTTCAAATCCTGCTTTTGCTTTGTTTTCTTGGGAGAAATTCCTGATTCAAAGAGGTGCTGTTAAGTAGGTCAAGCATAAGACACAGTATTTCTAATTGAAAAAGGATAATACAGGAAAAAAAGTCTCCTAGTTGTCTCTTCACAGATTGTAAAGTGAGCCCCAACACAACAGCAGATGCAGGTTCCTGGCAATCTGAGTATGGTGTGAACTCTGTGTTTTTGTATGCTTGTAAGGAGGCTTTTAGACCTTTGAGGGCGACACAAGGGCCTGCAAGCAAAAGTTGAAAGTGCCTGTGTTTCTCAGCCATGTCCAAAAAAGGAACAGCCGGCCACTGCTGATGTAAAGACAATTAGATATTTTAAATGATTCTGGAGTTTATAATTTCAGTTCTTTAGAACAAGAGTAACCTGAAAAATGGTTAAGGCCTCGTGCTTTAACAATGCCCAATTTTTAATTTTCCTTTAGGTCCTTGATCCAGGCTCGAGGCATGTAAAGCTTCTTAAATTTATGGATCTCATGTTTTGCAATGCCTTGCACAAAGCTTAGAGCCTAGTCCCGCAGTACACTCTATGTGAGTGTGGGAAGTCTCTAGCATGTAGCTCTTTGAAGGCTCAGGACTTTGGTTGATAGGGTGAGAAGAGTCATTTCCATGGTTGTGGTCTATAGAGAGGGAATTAAAACAATGCTTAGGGATAGGTTGTGTGATGGTCCCAGGAGCTATCTCGAGGAGTTATCCAGTTCTTACTGGGTTTCTCTTTAATGGGCTGCATGAGAGCATTATCTGGTAGACATTTAAAGGATATATATACACTGACAGTGAGAGGGAGGCCAAGTCCACAGAGGTAAGCAGTGCTACTGCAGGACATCAGCAGTCTTAGTAGGAAAACCTTTCAGTTGGAGCAAAACCCAGTTTTGCTCCAAGACAGTGGTAGAAGTGTAGAAAGGAGGGGAAAGAAAAAGTCCTCCTTGTGCAGCTACTCTTGTCTAGTAGTAGCTGGGCAATCACACTTAGAGTTATTTGCAGCTCATGGTTGTGGACTATGTCCTGCCTAGGTTTCCCTTTCTCTTTCATGTGGCAGTACTCTTGTCCTTTTCCTCTGCCGGAAAGAAGATTAGTCAGAAAAGTCCTTATTGCTGGGGACTGTGCACAAGATTGAAAGAGCCTGACTTGAGCCTTAGCTTCCTGTAGGCTTTTTGTGGCAGAAGCAAGTGTGTTTTTTTGCTTGTAAATTGAAGTTGGATGGAATCATCTGCAGTTGCTAAAAAGCCCAGTAAATGCAAGCCACTCTTCACGCCATCTTTTAGTTGTGTTTCAGAGTTGAACGGTCGTTTTATGTTTGACATTTAGTGAAGAGTGTGCAAAGCCCAGGGTAGCATCTAGCTTTCAAAGAGCACATTGAATCCAGTCAATGTGTCACTCGTATGGTATGTATTTGTTGCTGGCGCCTTCCGAGTGGTTTCTGGAATGACAAGATCCTGTGCTGGGTTTGCCCTTGCTCCTCAAGCTTTATTGAGGAGATTTTTCTCTCATTCTCTCCTGTCTCTCATTCACTCCTACTAGTATCACCGGAGCATGCCGAGCCATACAGAAACTCACCCGCGTGCGAGTGGTGGACAACAGTGCCTTGGGGAACACGCCCTACCACCGGCCACCAAAGTGTATCCACGTGTATAACAAGACCGGAGTTGGCAAAGTAGGAGATAGGATCCTTCTGGCTATCAAAGGAGAAAAGAAGAAGGCTTTGATTGTAGGGCACAAGATGCCTGGCCCCACCATGACGCCTAGATTTGATTCCAACAATGTGGTACTCATAGAAGACAACGGAAATCCAATAGGGACTAGAATAAAAACACCAATACCCTATATCCTGCGACAGAGAGGAGAGTTCTCCAAAGTACTGGCCATTGCCCGCAACTTCGTATGAAAGCTAAGAAAGGTTTCTGGAAATCATCTCATACAGTAGCTGTTCCTTGGTCCTTTTCTAGAAAATGGTGAAACGTGAAAAAGTTGAGTTGTCAAGAGTCTCTCTTCCTGTTTAAGAATTGCTAACAACTAGATTAAATATTGAAATACCTTGCTTTTCTCCAAAATAAGGTTGGTTTGTTTCACAGAACTTCTGCAGTGTGTTGGGGAAATGCTCCTTCACTCTTACTGCTTGGGTGGTGTTAATTTGGTCTCTAATCATTAAAATGAGAACATGAAAATCCGTCTGGTTTTGTACTGCTTATGCTGTCTTTTCCCTATTTCTGCTTTTCCCAGTTCCCCAGGAGCAAGACACAAAGCGCGGTCCATGGCCCAGTGACACTGTGGTCTACAAAATGGATTCACACATAATAGAGTAGGAGAGACATATCATGAACTGTTGGTGCCTTGGGCAGATTCAATGCAGGGATTACTTTGTACGTCTTTGCCTAGGAAAAGTCTTCAGGAGGAGTGGGAGTTGGGAGAGCATGATGGCCTACAGCTTTGGTGGTGTGTGGTTGAACCAGGGTATGCCGGAGATGGAGAAGCAGAGGCAGGAAGGGGAGGTGAGTGGGGTAGGTTTGAGATGCAGTCTTTACTGTCCACCTGACTAACCTCAGGAGATTATGTTCTCCGAGTCATGCAAGGGCTGGGTTCAGATTGAAAGGTCCACAGAAAGAAGCTTCCTTTTGGGGACCACGTCAGACACTATCTGGGATGTTGGTAGGTGAGACTGGCTGTTGTCCAGTGGTGCTTCCTAAGCTTGGGCACAATAGAGGGCAAGTGCTACTGTAATGCTTTCAGGGACAGCTGTGGTCCAGGAGCCAAACAGTTCCTTGAGCTGGAGGAGCTGAGCTGAGAAACTTGGTGCTTGTGGCAGGTAAAGGGACATTGAGGCAGGAGCAGTGCTGGGGAAGAGGGTGCAGGGGAGGCAGCCAGCAGGAATCTGGCCAGCTTCAGGCCCCTGAGCTGACTCCTCATGGGTCCGGTGGCAGTGGCAGCTGCCTGTGCCTTGTCCTTCCACCTCACCTCCCTTGTCGTGCTGGGAAAGCTCCTAGGTGTCCCCTGTGTGAAGACCTGAGGGCTGTAGTGCTGAGCTACCACACTTTTCAACTAGTTCCTCCTGGTAGATGTATCTGCCCCATGCTCTCTGCTGTGGAATCCACATTGCCCATGAAAAAGGTAAGCCCTGGATCCCTTCATACTCCATTACTCCAGGGAACACAGATAAGATGGTACTTCAAATTTAAATTCAGTCTCAACCTTTAAGTAAGGGCACTGTCCCCCTTAGTAGAACGTCCCTGTGAGCTGGAAGAGCCCAAGCCTATGTGCTGCCTGGTTCAGTGGGAGAGCAGAATTGGCTGCTGCTGGTGGCACCTTCCTTGCTTGCTGTTGTCCATGGGCTGGTGGATGTTGGATCTGCTGCTCTGAGTCCTCCTGAACCCTGCAGGTGGTGCCTTTCGGTGCTCAGCCTGCTCGCTGGCATCTCATCGGAGGTGACGCTCGCCTGGCTGATGTCAGTCTTTCCACTCAACTTCCAGGAGGAACTTTCCGTGCTCGGAGGTGCCGTTTACACCGTTTTGCTGAGCAGGATTGTGCACAGACTGTGCGTGCCGGTCACAGCGGTGAGTGTGACTGTCCTCCCTCTGCTGGGGTTTGACTCCATGGCACTGGGACATGCCATGGCTTGGCTGCTTTTTTTCCCTGGTAGAATTCACTCCTGGATGAGGACGGGATACTCCCGGGGCCCCTGTTTTTTGGGATGAGCGCTGCTCTACGAGCCCTTTGGCGACTGTCGGTGCCAGCCCTGCGGGCACAGGGAGCCGTGCGGGTTGGCACACTGATGCCGGGAGCCGGGTGGCGGGGAGCGGGCCGGCCCGGGAGGGCTGCCCGGCCCCAGGAGGGCTCTGCCCGGCCCCGGCATCCTCCGGTGAGCCGGACGGGCCCTCTAGCGGCTCCCTGCCGCCGGTCGGGGCTCTCCGCCATCCCGCATCCCGCATCCCATCCGGCTCCAGGAGCGGGGTCGGGCCGGGGGCTCAGCTCAAGGTCAAGGCCGCAGGGTGCTGACCCACCTGGGCTCGGGTAAGGGGCGGGAAGGTGGGCGCTGTGTCCTGCCCTTAGCAGATGAATCTTTGCACCCCAGTTTAGGTGTGTTTTTTAGCTTTTTCAAAGCTCGTCCCAGTAGCAGGCTGAAGTATTTCAAGTAAAAAAAGGGTGTATGTTTTCATGCATATTTAGGGAAAGTGTTTACGCCCCTTAACAGCCCTGTGCTCTTCCTTTAGAAAACCTTCCATAGCCTTTGAAAGTCCTCTAACCCCCATAAACACATAGGCAAATACTTTTATATGATTTTTTTTTTTAATAAACAAATCATAAGCCAGTTGATACGTCTGTCATGCCCCTCCTGCAGGCAGAAGGAGCTCAGACTTCCTCGAAGTAAACCCTTTTGTGAACAGCAGAGGAAGATGGCTTCTGCTTACATTGGGCTAGAAAATATGCTTTCTTCGTCACTTATATGGGGTATTTAATTTCTGTGGGAAGGCTGTGGGCGCAATGGAAGTGGGGTCCATCCCAAGCTGGCGTACCTTGGTCCCAGCTAGCCTGGTTTGTAACTCATTTGAAGGGCTGCTTTCCTGTGAGGTTTTTCCTTGGCAACAGCTCCAGCCTTGAAGCGTCTCCCAGTAGGACCTGGGGGCCTGCAAACAATCCTTGTTTTTCTTGTCCTGACCATAAGGGCTATGAGTCCCTCATGGGATGCACAAACCCTGCTGTTTGGATATTAAATATTTCACAGAATATTTGCTAATAACTTTCCAGCGTTTCGCTGGGGAAGAGGTCGTGGGGAGAGGGCATGAGAGGAAGCGGGCAAGACAATGCAGCATACTTGAGATTAAAATGCGAAGCAAAGCTTTATTCCTAAGTAAACTGATATGTGGAACTAAATCCTTAACCTCGGAGCTTAATAAGCAGACAGCTAAGCTAAGCATATCCCGTAGAGCGTCTCCTGCAGTTTTTACCCATCTTTCCCTATCGAGGAACGTGGCCTCGGCAGAAATTCCCGGCTGGCGGTGACAGCTCTGTGCTTGGCAAATTCCAAGCGCTGCCTGTAGCAGCAGCTCTCCAAGGGGAAAGGGCCTGGCTCGTGGATGAGCCCTCAGCCTGCTCCCACCCATCCCGCTGAATTCGGCCCCGCTGTGGCTGCGGGATGGCCCGGTCCTGACTTCCCCGGCACTGCTCTGCACAGGCAGGAGCAGAGGGATGGCACCTTCCCAGCGGCCCAGGCTGATGTAGGTTCTCTGGTCCTTCAAGCAGGCCCCATATTGCAGGTCCTCTCTTTTTTTTCGGCACAGTGGATGATACCTGCTTGTTCCGAATTCCAGACCAGCCACCACTCTGCTCCAGATGTGCCAGAGCCTTCTGAGCAGCAAGGTGGTGGTGTCCTGGGCAGCTGCTGGGTTTCCTGGGCTTCAGCTTGAGGCATCCATCTTTGGGGTCTGTCTGAGCCTGTGCTCTCTCTAAATGGGAAGCTTTTGCTTGTGCATCCGTCCTGCTAGGAAATCAGATGTGACTTCCTCTGTGGGCAGCAATTCTTGGAGGTCCTTTCCTTGAAAGATGGCTGCGAGGGGAGGGAAGAGAGACCAAAACACCAGCTACCTCAGCTGCTGCCAGGTCATTCTCTTCCCTGCTCCCTATTTATGTTTATTATTCTGCCATCAACATGATTTTATACGGTAAATGGGAAAATTTCCTAGTGTGAGACAGCTCTTAGGAGGAATTGTCTCATCTCCTCTGTAGCCTCTGGGAGAGCTGCCACCCGCTGCAGAAGGGGAAACCAAAGGCAGAGTCCTCCCAGGGTCTTCTTGCCCCGTGACAAATGTGCCTCCCTGGTCAGCTCTGACTGGGTCCCTGGGTTAATGTCCGTTCCCGTGTGTTTGGATGTGGGGTTTGCGTCAGATGAAGCTCCCAAGAGGGTGCCCATTCCCCTGGCAACTGTGGGGACTTTGTCCCCAAGCAATCTTCCATGGGAGGTGTGGTCTTTTTTTAGGGCATCCTGGAATGGGTAGGGAGAGATGGCCTTTGGGGAGATGCTTGCCCAGCAAACACATGTGATGGGTCTCTCCGGCAAGGGCTGGGGTCTGGAAGGAGACAGGCGAGCACAGGGGATTAGCTGGCCGTGAGAAGGGGTGTCCCCGAAAGGAAGCGGGCGAGACAGATTATCACAGAGGGATGCAGCGGGAAGCTGATGTCTTCCATCTGCTTGGAGACCGAGGCTGGGAGACAGGCGGCCCCGTCTCGTGGCCCTGCGCCAGCAGGGTGGATGGACTGCAGAGGCCGCTAGTGACTTTGGGGGCTGGGAGGAGGAGGAGGAGGAGATGGCTGAAACCTTGGCCAAAGTGGGGGTGATGCAGCCAGAGGCTGGACTTTGGTCCAAAGAGAGCATCGCTCAGTTGGTGGGGTGAGGGCGGCAAGCTGCAGATCCCAGAACAGGAGGCTAGATGGCAATGTGGGCGTGATGGTGTGCCCAGCAGCCTGCCCCCACAGCCCCCCGCGCCGCTCGGCGGGCCCCTAAGCCTGACTGACACGATGGAGCCAAAATCTCCCTCCGTCAGCACGTTCCCCAGCCGCCAGCCCGCAGCAGGGCAGCGGAGCCACAGCCAGAGGAAGATGGAGACTTTGGGGCAGCCAAACCTTGGGGAAAATCCTGTCGACAGCCAGGGAGCTCTGACTGGGGCTGAGCAATGTCTCCACAGAGTGGTTTTGAGTGGCCAGGGGCAGCAGGGTCACATCTAGCCCCATCCCATTTTGGTGAGGGTTAGCTGGGCTAAGGAAATGGATGGAAAGATGGGTCTGCGAGTGGCAGCATGGGCTGTTACCAGGGGTACAGGGTTGGCAGCTGCTCGTGGCAGGGAGAGGAGGGACATGATGCCCAGCAGTGAGATGCTGGCTCATGGATGGCAGGGGGCCACAAAGCAGGGGGCAGACATGGGCAGTGGGGAGGCGTAGCCCAGCTCTCTTGGGAAGCCTGGAGCTGGGCCACTCTCCTGATGCAAAACATCCCCTCAAAATGTGTTGAAACCACTTACCAAGGCCTTTCACCAAGAGGCAGATGCCAAATCCCCTTCCCTGAGGAAGAGGCTTGCCAAGCCTTGGGTGGTGAGGGGGGTTAGCAGCCTGAGCAGCGTTTTCCACCCAGCTGCTGGAGGGGAGGCAGCAGGAGGACCCCACCGAGTCCTTCTCATGAGG